GCAAATCGCGAATCTTTTGAGATGCGATCATAAGATCGGAACGCTCAGCTCGAGCAACATCAACCACAACGTCTGGTGTCACATAATCCCACAATTCTCCAGAAGCGAGAATAATCATTTCATCCTGCGCCGTCAACGTGACTTTCAGAGTATCTGGCGCAGCCATGACGGCAGGGATCAAATGGAAAAAGCCAAAGGCTCGGGAAACGGACAAGCGGTCATTCAATTTTCCATTTCGGGAAACGAAGCCACCAGCAGTCCTTATGCGTTGCCTTTCTGATTTTTCGGCAGGATCGTGATTCCGAGTGAGAAATTTATGTTGACCGTTTGATTGGACCAGAACAGCTTGAGCGTTACCAACATTGGCAACAAAGAGATCCATATTTCGGATATAGAGAATCGTCGCAACAGCTCCTGACCGAATGTCGTCTTGATTGAGGATTTTCCCTATGCCAGAAGCTCGATCCCAGTGCCGAGACTCTCTATCATCCATCGACTTGTGTGCTGCTGTTGCTAGATCCTTATTTAATGCCAAGAAAGACCTTCGCAGGGCATCACTTGCATTTTCATCTTTATATGTTCGTAGTTTATTCAACTCACTTGCGAACGCGGCAGGGAAGTTCTCGTGGAGGTATTTGGCGATTCTCGAGCCGCCGCTTAGCGATGTATTGCCGTCAAAGAGTCCAATGATAGTTTCCATGGGATTTCCTCTGAAACGCGGGACGACCATATCTATCATTGACAGATGCTCATTCTTACCGAGCGTATCCGCAACTCCGTAGGAAATGGATCCAGATGCCGACGCCGATGTGCGAACACGTCTATCCTCAGTCTCTTCGGGGACATTTCTAATAGTGAGCGTAACGTCCATCAACCCGAGCACTCTAATGTAATTGAGCGAATTGAAATTGGTCAGGTCCGTTCCATTTATATTTCCAACGCCTGATGCGTATGATGAACTCGGCTTGATCTCAAATCTTTTGTTCCCTGAGAAATTGAGATACCTTAAATTATGATTCCAATTCCAATTCCAATCGTACGGGAAATTCGAAACGTTGTACTTAAGAGAATTGCTCCCAACATCCAATACTGCAAGTTTATTGATCTTGCATAGCTCAGCGGGCAGTACTTGGAACTTATTTGCATTGATGTATAGGGTTTTGAGATTGCTGGATTCTTCAAGGTCGTCCGAAGGGAGGGTGCTAAGCTCATTTCCGGAAAGATGTAATTCCGACAGAAACTGCAATCTCCTCAAGACTCCTGGCGGAAGCTCAGTCAATTCGTTATACGATAAATTCAGTATCCTCAATTCGGGAAGCAATACGAGCTGATGGAAAATGTCATCTTCCAACCTATTATCCGCGAGGTATAATTGCCTCAACGAACCGCCGAACGTGTTCAACATCTTCTGCGAGTAAGTCGAATCCTTTCTGAATGCTTCCGCTCCCGGTCGAGACGCGGCGGCCTGTTGTCTCCCACTAAGTGACGAGACAGATAGCTTCCTGGTAGCGTCAGCAGGGGGGCTGCCTGCACTAAGATATCCGCCCGAAGCTTGGCTTGGTCGTCGGGTTTCGAACCCTTCCAGCTTGCCAAGCTCTTCGTAGCTAGCCGAGCTTGATAAGCCAGGAGTCGACATCGGGGTGCCGGTGCCATTCGCTTGAACCTCCGCGGTTGGGAGTTTGGGAGGGGAAGTTGCTGGTTTAGGAAATGTGTCAAGAACATTGGATGAAATATTCAAGACCTCCAAACGTAGGCAGTACCATATTTCTGCCGGAAGCTTCTTTAGATTACACTCCCTCAAATTTAAGCTCCTCAATTCAGTTAAACACCCAATGGTCGGTGGTAACTGAGACAACGGGTTTTTTGCTATACTAAAATGTTCAAGCCGTCGAAGATGCCCGATATATGGCGACAGGGTGACGAAATGGTTCTTATTAAGAAAGAGTTTCATCAAATTCGGCATGTTAGTGAATAGTGAGTCCTTGAACTGAACAAGCTTTGCTGATGCGATGTTGAGGGATTGGAGTGTAGGAACGGGAGCAGTAAGGTGAAAATCTGTCACTGGACAATGATCAAGCACCAAAGTCCGCAGCTTCGTGAACGAGCCGTAGAACGTAGATACGGAGTTATGGCCGATGAGGAGCGTCTCTAAACGAGGAAGCTGCGTGAGGTTATCAATACCAGTAATATCGTTAAACCGAGCATCCATTTCTTTGAGGTTCACCAGGTGCCGGAATGTCTCTCCGAGTGGTCCACTCAATGTATTATTGGTGACCCAAAGCCTTTCCAGTGATCGCAATTGACCAATAGTAGCCAACTCCGTAATCTGATTGAAGCTTATATCAAGATGTACTAGGGAGGTTAACTTGCACAAAAACTCCGGGAAGTATTGAAAATTGTTGGAGGAGATATTCAAGTGTCTGAGCGCGGGAAAATCGCCAAAGTACGAAGGCAGCGACGAAAGCTTGTTGTTGGCCATCTTTAGACTGATAAGTCCATGCAAATTATGCAGCTCAGCGTGCTCTAGTTGCTCTAAGCAGTTGTTCGAGATGTCCAGGTATGTCAACCGGGTTGCCAAACCGAAACTCGCTGGGAGACGCCACGCTTCGTTGCTCATGAATTGAATATCGCGCAGGTTAATACAACTCTGGATAAAATCCTTCGGGACATCCAGTGCTAGGTTTCGCGATAGATTTAGAGAGATGATTTCTGGCGCTTTCTTATATAACTTGATAGGAATCGTGACGAGATTCTTGCTTTGAAGGTCTAGATGGCTGAATTTTTGATTCTCGTTGAATGCGAGTTCCGAGTCCAGGCTCGAGTAAATTCCCAGTTTTGTGGGAAGAAAGGTGAAGCGGACAAGGTAGCTATTGTCTTCCCGTCCTATATCTGCAATCCGATCAGAGTTCTGGTACCCAACCTGTTCGAGTAGCCTTTTCTGCATAAGAATCGGCCGCTCTCCCTGATCTAATCTCCTTGATAGGTCATTTTTCCGCATGACAATATCGTAATTGTTTAAATCGTCTTGGAGGAAAGATTTGCGACCAAGCATCTCCAGAATCTCTGTAACTGTGGTATTAAGGCCCGCAGAAAGCGTCGCAAAAGTGGAATCAATGCGAAAGACTCGAACACAATAAGGATGCCCGTCTTCGTCCACTGACAAGCTAGCATCATCCTCCGCAAGCTCGGGAAGTCTGCTAACGATATCATCACTAGGCTTTTTCACAGCCCAGCTGTCCGGCGCATGCCAATCACCTGCCGTAGGTTTATCGAGAACTGTTCGGGATTCGCTTTTAGCAGTGCCATAGTCAGCGCCAGTGAAAATATCCCCTGTATCTGTAGGTGAGCCGGGTCTAGGTTGTCGGATAATTCCTTCCATATCGCCAAGATTTGTGTCAAGATAGACATGCTCGCCTTGAAACGTCTCGCGCTCCTGTTTAAAAGGATCTTTGCTTGACCCACCATCATGACCAAATGGTAGTCGTCCATGTCGCAGTTTACTGGGGCCACCCTTGCTGGAGGGTTCTTTCTTTCGATCATAATCGATATACTCCCATTGTCCTCCAGGAACTGTTGCCTCTCCACTCCCGTTTCTAGAACGGGAAGCAGGCGACATCTCGGCTTTTAGGCGCTTAGGACCTTTCAAAGGTTCCTGGAGAATGCTTGAGGAGGTTGGAAAATGCTTCAGAAGAGCCGAAGGGTGGTGGCCTTTGGGTCTTCGAATTTTGTCAAAGAAGGAGCGTTTAGGTGTCGGAACACTGGGTGACATCTGGCCTTGATTGATACTTTGTGCGCTGGGAGTCGGACTTGTGGAGCGGCCAGCAAGTGTCGTGGTTGACATACTCATTGGCGTCGAAGTCCCGAGGGGCTGGTCTTTCGATGGGCGAGGATGGTTTAGATTCTCACGACTCGCGGACTGCTGCGAGGAAGCAGCGCTAGCCTGGTCTTCTTTACTCCTATTATGGCGGTGGCCGAAGTGCAATCGATGTTTTGGTTTTATAGTTGAACTACTGGGGGGATATCTACCGTTAGGATTTGTAGGCTCCTCGCGAACCGGAGCGTCTCCTAGATGAGGTATATCCGTAAAGTCCTGGAATTCCCAAGGAGTGACTTCGCTAGACGGTAGCGGGGTACGAGGTGCAGAGAGGTTTGGAGATGGTCGTCTTTCTAGCGCGTTTGAAGAATTCAACGAATTGTGTCTATCGCGGCTTGGGGCGATGCTAGGTACCCGGTTCGATATAGATCGCTCCATGGAGACGCCATCTTGGTATTCGTCGCCGAAAAATCCCTGCAGTCGTTTATGAAACCGCGCACTGCCAGTGGACCTTGAACCCCCGCTACTCCCAGTCGCTACACTGGCAATTGACGGCCTACGACCGTCATTGTCATAACCGAGGTCAGGGGAATTGCTTACAACGGATTGAGCTGTTGCTGGGCGGAGGGATGGAGAAGTCTCAAATTCAGACGAATCGTTGAAGAAGGTTCCTTGGTTGGCACTTGTTGGAGGAAGAGGGGACGACGGAGAAGGTGGTACAGGATGAAGAGAAGGAGGGGGGCGAGGATTTATCGTCGGAGGATTGTTTCGTGACATTTTGCTTGCAGGATAGTCTGGTGTATCTAGTCGAGCAAGAGCTTTTCTATGGTTACGAAACCCGTAAGACGAACGCCTGTCTGTCGGCGACACGTCCGAAGATTCAGAGAGATAGGGGACATGCGGGACATCGTCAAAAACCGACGAGGGACGTCTCGAACTGGACTGTGACCTATTTGTCAAAGCTCCCGAATCAGTTTGTCCAGCTTCTTTGAATATGTATATCCTTCGATGCAAAAACGCCGACGAGATCGCCGACGCAGCACTTGGGAATCAAGCTGAAGCATAGAGCTTCTCCAAATGGGAAGTGCACATGTTGATGCCGTTTCTTCCACAGCGTATAACCTTCTATAGAACAAAATTTCAAAAGAGAAGATCTCTCATACCTGTTCTCCGTTCCCATCTGACCCTGGGAAGGGAGGGAACGGCCAGCTCCAGATGATCGGTTGTTCTGCCTTAGGGTGTCATGCGAATGTCGACTTCCGGTGCTAGAGCTCTCAGAACCATGTCTCACGGCCTGGTAACGCTCCCGCTGGCGCGAGGCCATATATTCGGGGAGCCACCTAGACTCGCACCCAGAACCCAATTTCTTCACAAATTATGCCCTCTGAAAAACTTGTGCCCCTTACTTTCCTTCCTACTTTAACTATCGATGAGGTTTCATCCAACGTGAAGAGCACCGAAAAAAGGAGTAATGTCGTGCCAGAATCGTGAAATTGGCGGCGAATTGAGGAGAATCTGTGCGCGATAAGGAAAAAGAGGATCAGTCTCAGTCTCAACCGATCGGTTTGCAGACAACCGTACTCGCATACAAGCTCGTTAACTGCATAAACCTCTCGCCCTTTGGTGCTTGATCGCTTTCAGGGCCCGCAGACTTATCGACCTTCTCGGGCAATGGTAACAGAGAAAAGCAAAGGGGGATCAATTAAGTCGACCCGAATGGGATGAAAGGCCACGACCTGTACACCCCAAAGCCCGTATGCATCGCAGGCGACAAAAGTATCGATGGCGTGAGACAGGAACGGTTTTCGATGACGACAGATAGGAGGAAGACAACAAGACCTGCAGGCTGCTGGGGTTGGAGTGTTGTTGAAAAGCCCAGGAGAAAGCCAAAGTGACTACGGAGTACGGCGTCGTTGCTTGTTGGTCACTTCAAATTATCCCTTGCATCCATGTCTAGACGCTAGCAATTGGGATTCGCGGGGAGGGTAGACTCGGGGCGATGTCTTTGAGTACCTTCGATGATCTCGTTGGCGCAAGTCAGAGGTTGAAGATGGGACAAAAAAGGCCCAATGGCAAAGCTGAGGCTAAAAGATATAGATAACAATGAGAAACTAATTCGTTCAGCCAGAACGCAATCCCCCAGGTCTGCTTCCAATGTCTCAAGCAGCGACCTCGAAGACGAAGAGAGCAACGCCCAGAGCTCCGAGCGCCTCACATCGGTCACATGAGACCTGCTGAATAAGCACGAACCCAAAGCGCCAAGTATCTGTCCCTGAGATCGCGACTTTTACATTCGAGGGATTCGGATTGAGTCAAACTCGAAGACGCAGAACATGGGCTCCAGCCTCGATATCAGACATGGGCGACTTGTCCAAGGTCCTAGCGAATGCATCCCAAAGCTCCAATTCTCTGGGATATCCCGGAACCGGTCGTGGTTTCATCCGTTGCTACTCCGTACTGGTGACGGACTGATCAACGAAAGTTACTCGGCTCAATATGTGAGGATGAGACTACAATTTGGAGCTCTGCAGGCTTGACGAGGCCTCGCGCGAGATTATGGCCGGCAATGGCTTCAAGTCGAGGTTGATTGGCTGCTACAGCTGATCAGAACATTCATCCCTTTGGATGGACTGGTATTGACTGTCTCGACACCAAATACAATAGCAACTGCAAGTGCTATTACCTTGAGCTGTGTAGCTGTTAGGGGAGGGCCATCTACACTTCCCTGGGCAAAATCATCCTGAGAGATAGAAATGCAAGTTTCAGGATACCCCAAAAGGGAATGATGCTATTCATGCGAAAAGAATGTATGTACATACATCTGTCTTGTTGAGAGTCCCAGAAATGCAATGCACCGGGCTATATTCGATCATGGCCAAAAAATTGGCAAATGAAGAAAGAATCAAAGGCGCGCTTCGTATACAAATGAGGCCGTGAAGTACAGGAAAATAGAACATTCTATGGTTTTCGAGCGATTGTGACAGTGTACTTTTGGTGGATGCCCTCCTCCGATACAATATCACGCAAACACTGTTCTGACAGTCTCTTTATCTCCTCCTCACTGGCACCACTGTCGCTGAGGATCTTGCGAAGCAACTCTGGGTAATTCGGTAACAGCTTCGCTTGTACATATCTGCCCATGGCCTGGCTGTTGGGCGTTTTGGTCGATGGCACAAACGAAAACTCAAAGGTATGAGTGCCGATAACCTCCAATCCAGCTTCGGCCATGAGCTGTGCTGCTCCAGAACCAGAACGGGTCGACAGCCCTGCTTTCTTAAGACCAGAAACGACAGCCTGGTACCATTCCCATTTGTCGCTAAGACATTCGGATGACGCAACACGATAAAACGCCCAGTCAAGGTCTTGATGCTCGATGATACCGCCCGACTTTAGCGCGCGAGAGGCTATCGAAAAGTATCGTGACCAGTCGTTGAGTCCAAGGAAAAGCATCCGTCCAAATACATAGTCCAGCCCGCTCGGCGCAAAAATTTCCTGACAAGCTTCGCCTTCGGATTCTTTATTGTCGACGTCTAAAACGTTCCCAATGGCCCAAGCGGCGTTTCCAGGAGCTATTTTCTGGACAGCTGGCGGCACGGGTGAAATGTCGAGCCCATACACCTTGGCAGACGGTATCTTGTTAGCGATTTGGACTGTCGCAACTCCAGTGCCGCAGCCAACATCGACCGCTTTGGATGCATTCTTCAAGCCTTCAAAAGGCGCTAGGAACGGAGCTCCGCCTAGCATCTCGACGATAGCAGCCGCCTGGGTGTCGAGGCGATCCTGCTCTCTGGCACTGTACGATCTCTGTCAGACGGAACATCTCGACGAGACGGAGAGAGGGCCACGTTACTCGTTCGGAAGCACATAGGCAGAGTTCGTGTTGTGGTACTGGCGCTCGCCATTCTCGTTGGAGTCGCCCATATTGACAAATCTGGTGTAATGAGTTGCCACACCGGCGCCATCGTAGGGCTCCAACCTTGTATATTTATTCCATGGATTTCCCAGCGAGCCGTTTATTGTTCCACTCAGCGTTGAAGCTGATGTGGGATGGCTGCTATCCCATCGGGATACATGTTGGACCTCGTAAACACTGGGAGGCAACCGAACACTCAGCTTGCGGGCCCCTGCTGAATGATGGGTCGCGGATGTCCATCAAAGAGCCTTCGGCACCCGGGAAAAGTAGGTGACGAACTGCTCTTATCTCCCGGAAACCGAGTAATTTTTAGCGTTGTGCAGTGTTGGCGGGACGGCGGTGTTCTGGCTCAGGGGTTGGAGGGTGTTTAGTCAGTGCCCCCCGGCCGATGTGGGATGATCGCCAGAAGTGCCGCAAAGCACCAAACAAAGCTGCTGGTCATCTTGTTAATCAATGCTGGACTGGCATTTTTCGGCTTCGAGATGACACAAAACATGGCGCGTCCGGCCACCATAAATCTATCATTAGATATGGCGGTTTCTCGCATCCTGTCTCGGCGCTTCTCTTGCATTCATACTCGACCTTATCTTCAACAAGCTCACCCAAGACCTTGGCCGCCAAATTCCCTCCGTGAGCCACGATGAGCGCCGGCTCTTCAACAAGCGGGCATGACACTGGCACAGTGTCGCCCAAACATGATGCCTCTGTGTCTCTTGACCATGGAAAAGAGAAGGAAGCTTTGGGGCCATCCCCAAAGGACAATGCCGCCTCCGACGTGATGCCGGGGCCAGCAAATTCTCCGATGAGCGAGAAGATGCAAAACATCTTTATGGTGTTTATCACATTGACCCAACTTGTCCAAATGATTCCTCTTGGTGCTGGTATCAACTCTGGTCTTGCTATTGGAAAGGCACTTGGCGCAACGGACGTACAGTCGGTCTGGATCGTTGCCTCGTACCCATTGACACAAGGCTCTTTTGTTCTTATCGGTTAGTGCCTTACCTTCCTCTTGCTCGTTTGCCCATTATGTGATGCCTGGCTGACCACCGGTGTCCTCGACAGGCGGCCGTCTTGGTGCGATCTATGGCCATAAAAACATCCTCACTCTCGGTTGTGTATGGTGGGTTGTCTGGGCTTTTTGTGGTGGATTCTCAACCAATTTGATTTCGATGTGCTTTATGCGTGGACTGTGCGGTATCGGCGGCGGCCTCATGATCCCTAACATTGTCGCCTTGTTGGGTATCACCTTTCCACCAGGGAAGAAAAGGAATCTTGGCATTGCTCTATTCGGAGCAATGGCTCCTGTTGGCGCGGCTGGTGGTTCTCTTATCAGCGCAGTCATTGTCCAGTTGTCGCATTGGAAATGGTTGTTCTTCATGCTGTGAGTAGGACATCTCGCGCCTTAGACATTGAGTCCTTGCTAACATCCCGTTGTTCAGAGGCTTACTTGGTGTGGCGGTTTATGGTGCTGCTATCTTTTCGGTTGCTCCCGATACCCCTCTAGATCCCAACGGCACGGTCGACTGGGTTGGTGCATATCTAGGAGTTGGCGGACTTATCTTGTTTAACTTCGTTTGGAAGTAAGTGGCCTCCTAGGCGTCTACCTAGTATTGGCGACTAACCACTATGCACACAGTCAAGCGGCACTTGTCGGCTGGGATAGCCCTTACGAAATTGCCCTCCTCATCCTGTCTATTATTCACTTTGCAGGCTTTTCATACTGGGAAATGAAGGTCGCCAAGGAACCAATCCTGCCTTTTAACATCTGGAAGTCACCCTCGTTCGGCAAGCTCATGTTGGTCATCTTCCTCTCCTTCATGAGTTTGGGCATCTACTTTTGGTACATGAACATCTATATGCAAACGATTCGGGGAGATAGCTTGATCAGGGTTGGTGTTCAGTACTTGCCACTCACTATTGTCGGCGCCGCAAATTCCTTCCTCGCCGCCTGGCTTATCCCTCGAGTACCGGCCCAAGTCATCATTGGTATGGGCACCGTGGCAATGGTCATTATCAACGTGCTATTGGCTACCATTCCCGCCAAGCTGACCTATTGGGCGATGGCGTTCCCGGCAATGTTTATATCCGCATTTACGATTGATTTGATCACCACCAGCGCTCAAATCATCGCCAGCAATACTGTCATGATCCAGCATCAAGGTATTGCAGGGTCTTTGGTCGGTACACTACTCAGTTACGGCATGAGTACTGGTCTTGGTTTTGCTGGAACTATCGAGGTCCACACCTTTGAAGGCGGGAAAAATCTTCTTCGGGGATATCACTCCGCTGCATATTTGGCAGTGGGCATGTCCGCAGCAGCGTTGTTCCTCACTTTCTTTATCCGCATTCCCAAAGATACCAGAGAGGGTTGGCAGGAAGATGATGTGGAAGCCGTTCGGAGAGAAGAGCCTAATGGTGTTTGAACTGCGGGCTGACTCTTATTCGCGCGGGGCGTAATTCTCTTATTTTAGAATGTTTCTAGTTTCTCTGGCTCCCAATTGGAGATCCATGTCTAAAAGTATCGTCGGTCGGGTGCATAGCATTTTACAAAAATCTTGAAAATTAATGTGTAATTCACCACTTTTGACCCTTATTCTTTGCGCTTTTTCTTCTTTCTCTGGTTTTTTATTTTGCCTGAAAGAGTTTACATATGTAACTAAATGTACTTGGATGCAATCCTTTGATGGAGCAAATCAAATTTCAATGCTAGGAACAAAAGGAGACAAACGAGCTCATCTACCAGTGTCGATACGTATTTTCAGATGCAGGTCAGATGTAAGAAGTGCTTTTATTTATTGTCTACAGAGTGCCACCAATCACTATGATGTAAACATTCTGATTCTTCCCTATTCACTTCCATTTGTTCATTGTGTATGTAACTATGTATCTATGGCCATGCTTCTAATCAAACATTCTAATGTGCCCCTGCTCTCACAGATTTCTTCAAAACTCCTGGACAGAAACAGGGTCGACATTGATGCCATGAATGACCCCTCTGGATTCCAAGATGCTGGTAGCATTGGCGAGAGCAATCTCGTGGAACTTAGCAAAGTCTGCAAACAAGATGTTAGTCGCGGTGGGCCGGTAAATATGGGGAAGATGCATCTATCAACGTACTTCGAGCATGTCCAGTCTCGCAAGCATAGATGCTCCATCTCACAAGCGTTTCATACTTGAAGATGCTAGTGGCTTCAAGGGTAACCCAGTAGCCGCTGAAGGAGCCCGAGCCGTCGTGGTACTCGAGGGGAACGGTGGAAGGCAGCTGCTCGAATTTCTGGATGAAGGAGCCGTCGCGTTTGACGCGGTACTCGTTCAACTATATTCAAAGTGTCAGTGGCCGCCGCAGCAACAGGCGAGCAGTTGGGACCTACGATCTCGGAAACATTATAGACCCCGATCGGCGTGGGGAACTCGGTGGTGCGGATCGAGACGTGGGGCCGGTTGTTCGGGCCTTGGGTCTTCCAGGGCAGGGCGCCAAGCCAGCCACACTCGTAGTCTGCGGGGCTTAGTCAGCTGCGATATGGAGATAACGCCGGAGGAAATCCCCAACGTACAGTCATTCATCAAGGCTTCAACATCCTTCGCGTTGGCGCCAATGACGCTGAAGGTCACGGACTCGGAGTAGTCTGTGCCGGGAGGGCATTTGCATGGGGTGTGAGAGTAGGGTGAGCACCTCGGGAGACTGGTGGCCAAGGTGGTTTGACCCAACAGGGCCACGGCGGCGAAGAAGGCTGAGAACTTCATGGTGCTGAAAAAGGCAGATGGAGAATGGGCTTGTTCGCGAAGGCTGAAGTCTGCACGGCTCGTTTACTGAGTTTGAGAGCAAATTGCCGTGGGGTTGGGATCGCATTTATTCCTTTCCCATGAGTTCTGGGGCCATCCCGTTACATTCTCTGCTGAATCCGAGCTGAACAAACGAACTCGTTATCATACGAATATGTGGAGCGCCCACTGGATTCTGCAAAAGACGACCTCGAGCCCTGGCAACTACGGGCTATGTGGGAGACGAGGCTGGCCGTTTCGTCCTTGATAAACGGGAATGTGGGAGACTGGGAGTGGTTCGCGTTCCATCAGCGCTCCATTTGTGCTGAAGATGAGTCGGCTCTTTCTGGAAGACCCGTTTATGCGATCCTTCCACGTTCCTTGTCGTACCGGTTTGTGCTTGCATGGGACCCTGGGAAGGTTCGCGCATGCATTTACGCATGCAGGGGATGGGAAGCGACCCCTGCAAATGCTACAATGGAGCTTCTTTATCTACATGGGTCGAGATATTTGCACGGCCTCAGTTGACGGGTTCCAATTTTGGACCACTCGCACTCCTATTTCCCTTAGCTAAAATGTTGGATCGGGCGACGGATAGCCGTTTGGCTAGCCTGACAGGAGTACATAAGCCCGCTCGTTCTGCCTTTGGGTGATCGGAAGGAGATTTTTGCAACTGCTCTTTGACCAGAGAAGCAAGCCTGTTTATCCATTCAGAAATTGGTGATTTTCTATACCAAGATGAAGGTCGTTTCCCTATCGGTATTGCTACTGTGCACAGTAAGCAATGTTCTAGGCGCTGTCACCCCTCACAGGGACCCTGAGAGAGCTGCATCGCGGGAGATAAAGAAACTGCAGAGGGAATACCAAGAGTACATCCTGGACACAGTCAAAACCCGCAAAACTGGATGTACTCCACGGAATATGGTTTTCCGTCAAGAATGGTATCCCAGCGTGTAAACACCTTGGCATGGCTGCTTACTGACCTGCAAAACCAGGGGATCCCTCTCCAAACGGTCACGTCTCGACTACATCAGAGCAGTCAAATGCCTCCAGAAGAAAGCTCCCCTGAGCTCGAAGCAGGATGTCCCTGGTGCGAGGAGTCGCTACGATGACTTCAGTGCTGTACACATCGAGCAGACGCCCTATGTTCATTTTAGCGTGCGTGCATCCAGCATGATAGTCTTGCTGTTTTATCCTTAATTCCCGAGAACAACGGTTGACTTGACCTTCCATGACAACAGGGCCTGTTTTTCCATTTTCATCGCTACTTGGTGTGGCGTTATGAAAAAGCTCTTCGGGAGGAGTGTGGCTACCGTGGCGCGCAGCCGTACTGGGATTGGACTCTCTCATGGAAAGACCCGCGAAAATCGACGGTCTTCGACGGGTCCCGATATTCGATGGGAAGCAACGGCGAAACAATCCCTCACGGACCTACCACCATCTCGGCATTCGGAATCACCCTTGACATCCCCCCCGGCACCGGCGGAGGATGTGTCTACTCCGGGCCCTTCCAAGATTACTCGGTGAACCTGGGCCCTGTTGCCTTTGAGCCGAAAGGCCCGAACAACGGGCTTGGCTATAACCCACGCTGTCTGATGCGAGATCTCTCGCTTAAGTATAGCAACCAGACCAGGCCCACCAACGTATTGGCCACGTTGACCAGCGGCTGTGAAGATCTCGGCTGCTTCGACACTGTACTTGAAGCCATCGATGGTATCCATGCTGGCGGCCACTTCTCGATGGGCGGTCTCGGAATCGACGCCTATTCGAGCACTGGCGATCCGGCATTCTGGCTCCACCATGCGCAGGTTGACCGCGTGTGGACAATCTGGCAGAATTTGGATCCAAAGGCGAGGACGCACCAAGTGTTTGGCACGGGCACTGCTTTCAACGGTAAGTTTCGCCACGTTTTACCACTCGCCCAATCTACGTTTGGTAGAGTTTGCACGTACTGATTAAACCGCACGCTCTCTAGTCCCACCAAGTGATAACATAACTCTGGACACAATGATGGAATACGGGGCTGTTGCGCCCAAGCAGCGAGTGGGTGATATGGGCTCAACCATTGATGGGCCGTTCTGCTACATGTATATTTAGTTCATTGGGATGACATCCGATCGTGGTGCAGCCGTGTCTTCGACATGCATCAGTGCGATCAGCCAAAGATTTAACTTTGTTTCTTTGATAGATAATTGAAGGGGGAGATTTGTTTAATCCAAACTTATTACTTCGTATAGAGCCCAGAATAGCTCCCTTCCTTTTCTCCCATCAATATCTGAGCTGAGATTAGTTTCGATCCCCCTTTTCCCCGGCAACTTGCAAGCCACACTTCGCCAGATGGTCATGCACCTAGCTCGTATTCTTCGACCCGGGCCCTCAGATTTGAGATCGGGATCGTTTTTTTCCTTTTAATTTAGATTTCCCGCTTAGTCGCATCTCGTATATTTTTGCGTGCGTGGGCTCGCATTGTTTTCTTTTTAGAAGGCCGAAAACACCGCCCGATCCAAACCATATGTAGGCAATAACTGGTCAATGCTACTATCGCCCGCAGCTGCGCGGAGAAACGAAAACTTCCCTTCTGTTCCCAGGAATGTCGTCATCTTGCTGATTGAATTCTCGACTTCGGGCCAGGATGGATTGATTCTCGAACTTTCAACCATCCTTGCGACATTTTGTGGCCAACGCATCTCCCACACAGAGATTTGCCAAGGGCCAATGTGGGAGCTCAGCAATGAGAGAAGTCGCCTAATTTTTACAGATTAAGACGGGATGATTGAGAAAAGGCCTGGAGTGCAATTGGTGATGCTTCATTTAAAATCTAATCAAATCGCCACCTATGCGCTTCCCAGCCTTTTGCCCCTGCCGGCATTTTATTTGTCGAATGTTTAGTTTGAGCTGACATATCTGTTTACCACGCCCTGAACCTCCTCCTCGCTCATTTCCTTGATGCCCAATAACTCATTGTCAAGCTTCTCAAAGTGACAGCCGTATCCTTCGCCCCAGATCGATGCCTTGACAAAGTTCAGGGCGAAGCTGGCCGGGTTTGGAACCTCCTTCTTCAGCTCTTCCCAGCCTGCAGCCACCACCTCGTCGAGAGAGACGATATTCTCGGTCCATCCGTCCGGTCCAGCCGCCTTCTTACCCTTTTCCAGAAGCTGCCTCAACGTCGTCGCTGTGTCCTGCACATACACGGCGCGGTTCTTAGTCTCCTCTGGGTGTCGAAGGATACCGACCACAGCCTTTCCGATCGTTGCCAGGGTTGTCGTGCTGAACATACGATTGCCACCATCGTACAGATCAATGCTCTTGCCCTTGACATTCATCACGAAGCCGACCATCATGCCCCAGTCGAAGAAAGGGCCGTTGCAGAGAAGCGTGTAGCTCATTCCACTCGTCTCAACTTCTTTCTTGAGCGCGTCCTGGACGACAACCTTGTATTTAAAGCATGGGAGTTTGGAACACTTGTCGTTCACCGTATTAGAGCCAAATTCTGAAGGAAGGAAGCGCTTGACCCCAGCTTTGCCGGCGGCTTCGACCAGACCAAGCTGGACGTGGATCGCGGCGCTGGCAAGGGTTGAGATGACGGCATCCTGGCCCCTTAGTGCTTCTGTTAATGAGGCCACGGAGTTGTAGTCGACTGGCGCTACCTTCACGGATGAAGGGAAAGTGTGAGTGCTACCCTCGCGGGTGAGGACTGTAACCTGGAACCCGGCATTGAGCAGCTGTTCGAGGATTGCTGGGCCGAGATTGCCACTGGCCTGCAGATTGGACTTAGCAAAAGGGGGCGCTGTGAGCGAGTGTTCAGGGGATGGCCGTTGCTTACACCCGCGAGAGCGACTTTGGTGATGGTGCTCATATTGTGTGCTTTGCTGTTTTTAAATGTGAAAAGTTATGCGAGTCGTCCAAGCCGAATAAAAGCAAAAAAGGTCCTCTCGGGTGCTCTTTGACTGTATGTAGATAGCTTGCTGGATAGTTTCAATGCCTGCTCAAAGCAATCAACGTTCTGCAACTCGCAGTTTATACACTCCTGGCACCAGGCACAACCCCGCGCCCATTCATAAGCATCGCCCCCGCTGAGTAATTGGCCGCTGCTTCTTACAAAACGCAGGCACGACCCGCACAGCTGCTCCTTCCTGGATTTCTTTGTTTACAGTGCAGCTTCGGGCAGGTGGGGCTCGGCGATGTGGGATGCCAAGGTGGGATCAGATAAGATCCGCTTGCGGCTGAATCTGAAGCTTCGAAACTGCGCGCTGAACATCTTCCAACGGTCTAGAAAAGTCTAATAGATGAGGAAGGATTCTGGAGAAGGGCGCGCATAGCCCTGGAATGAAGTTAGCTCCCAGCGCGAAACCGTCTTTTCCTTTTCAATCTGCAAAAATCGAGAATTCAAAACAACAACATTCAATGGGCGAAGAAAACAAAAGTTGGACCAAGCGGAAAAAAAGGAGCATCTGGGCCGATCGGAGTCTAGGCCCAATGGAGTTTAGGGCCCGAGTAGGATCTTCTCTGGCCGATCGGGCCGTGGTGGAGGGGGCGAGGACCCAAGCCGATGGGATTAATAAACATTCCTTACAGCAGCGTGATTTTCGACTTCATGCAAGGGAAAGTCCCTGCATTGGAGCTCGGGGTCGACTTTTCTGGGTTCAAGTGCCACGATCAGCTCCCTGGATATGGTGACCTATGTGGATATGTCTTGTAGATATATGTATATAGTTACACACTGTAATAGGCGCGATTAAATAGTCCCTCTAATGTAAGGCATGTCTTCATATATCCAAGATGGTCCTCCGGAGGGCGGCCTGCTGGAGAGCCGGGAGACATCATATAATAGAACGCGCATAATATCTACATTGCATTGACAAAAAAAACAAGGGTAGCCTCCCTCCCAGAGCCTGCTATAAAAGGGCCCCATCATCCAAACCGACTATCCCAGAAACGACATGAACTCCACGGCGGCGCGCTTATCTCGAACAAGAAACTTTTGAAACCACATCGCCAGTGGTTTGAAATTACACTGACACACCAGGATCTCGCTCGGGCCCCAGGTCGCGAGGGTTCGCCGTGCTGCTTCCACCGCACCAACCGCTCGTCGTCGTCGTCCGCACTGAACAGATCGACCGCATCAACGCACGGCACTCCGATACAGGCAGCACACGTACGGGTATTGAATGCGTACGAGCAGGTCACGATGGCGCTCTTCAACAAGGCGGGCATGGCTAGTGGGTTGAGCATCATGCTCTCGCTAGGCACGGGCGTTTGGGATTCTTGTGCAAACACGCGGGAGATCTGTGCGGCATTCCACACCGCCGTCCGAGGGCAGAGCGAAGACATCCAGGTGCGAAGGTGCGCTTTCGTCTTAACCGTGGTCATGGCAGTCCCAGGTGGTGATTTGAAAGAGTAGCCTCGGCCTTGGAGGAGGTCTAGAGGTGCGTGCATATTAAGAGCGGAAAGGTGCCAGAGAATGAGCAAGATTGGGGTGAATATTTGGTCGGCACTGAGAGTGGCGCCGGAAAAATAGTGGCCACGCAGTTGGCAGTCCTTCTCCATACTGGCCCGCCATAGATTGAGGTGACTACGCCAGAGCCGGATCGGATCCACGGCATTCGATTTTACAACTAGCTCGTCCGCCGCAGAGCTATGCGCTTCGCGGGCTGCGTCCCATATTCCAGCTTGGAGGGAGCAGAGGCCCAGGTGGTAGTCTGCTTCGTTAAGGGGGTAGGGTAGCTGCTGCCTCCCCCCGACATCAAGTGCATCGCGGATAAGAAAGAAGAAGGGAACCTTTTCACGACCTGCAGGCTCCTTCCACTGAAGATTGGATCTCTCGTCCTCACTCGCGGCGCTCCAAAGGCGCGCCGACTTGGGTAAGGGAATGCAGATCTCTTGATAACGAACTGAAGGCGGGTGGTCCGTGAGAACGCTTAGATAAGCATCAAGGCGCAGGACGGAGAAAGCGAGCCTGGGCTGGGTTAGAATGCATTAAACGCAAACGATATTTGGGAATGGGCTTGCAATCCCTGGAGGCGTGGGGAGACTGACCGATTTTGTTGTTCTTGGGCTAACCAATAAGCGAATGGAGAATCATCAGGGCTATGCTGGGCAAATTGACCACTGAAGATACCCTGATGCCGACACGTCGACACGAGGACGCTATTAAAATGGAGTGCCCGTGCGGCCATCCCATCCGTGCTCTATAAATATCGACATCAGTCATCAAATACGAGCTGGCGAATATCGTGAGTTTGCGTTCAAAACTTACCAGAGAATTTGAACAGTACACCACATATAGCAGAATTGCTTGCAATGTGGGCAACGAAAGGCTGGATCCCTATATCCCGAATCAATCATGTGAACCAACATTATACAAGCCACCTAGGGAAGATTGTATTCATACCACTCGAATGGCAGAGATTGCCTCAAAGACTAAAGGGCCAAGTCTCAGGCAGTCCAGCTCGTGTTTCACCCAGCTCGCAAGCATGGCCATGGATGCCAGTAGTAAATCGGGAGTATTTCCGGCATCAAAAGTTGGCTCGTGTAAAATAGGCCAGAAAGGGTGCACGTCTGCAAAGTATAGCTGAACTAATCGCTTTGTAGCGCCTGCATTTTCGCTGAGGTACCGATGTAGGTCTGCCACACCATCGTAATGGGAAAAGGGGCTGGAAGTAGTCAGCGATAAGGCGCTCTCGCTCGAGTCCAGGTTAGGTAAAGAAGCTGGGGGCCAATGCTCGCTGTGAGGCTCAAGACCTGCTGGTAGAGGAAACGTAGGATCTTTGAAGTTGGACTCGGGAAACGAGATGATATCGCCAGTCTCCATGGCCCAGCGTGTAAAGTCGTCTGGGAGGTCAACCGGAAATGGGATATCAGGTCTTCCTGCAGCAGCATCGGTATGTTGAAACCACAGTTCATGCTCAACCGGTAGCTGTTGGCTGTGAATCATGTCGACATCCATAATCTCGGACGTCAGGTTTCTGTCTCGTTCGCTGATGGGCTCTGGCGCATGCGCATGCGCATTCCCATTGCTATCCCCATTGACAGTAGCGTTCCCATTCGCTTCTGAAGTGAGTAAGGCGTCGTTGCTGGGATCCGTGCCCACGCTGCTCTCCCGCCTGGAGTCCAACCGTTTGCACACTGCCGAGGCTCGAATGCAAGATCGACAGGGTGTGCTGTCATCACACCGAAGCTTTCGCTCGCGACACAGGACGCATGCAACGTGAATACGCCGCGAGTCTGACACCAGCGGATGGTTCTCGACGTGTCTCTTCAGCACATCACTGGAGATATTAATCGAAGGTCAAAGCCCCGAGAGCAGGACGGGCACCTACCTTCTTGCGTACCGTCTCCCGCAGATGGTGCATTCATGTTGCGGCTCCGAGCTATGGGGACTTGAGGTGTCGAGTCAAATGCTCCTTGCGATGAAACAGCTTCCCGCAGTTGGGAACGGTGCACTGGAAGCGTTTCGTCGGAGTCGTCAAGCCTTGCGATTTGGAGCGTGCTGATTGCAAAGGAACTGAATTTGGCATTCTTTTCAAAAGAAGTCCTCCGTGGTGTCTTAGTTGCAGCGACTAGGAGCAGAGGGTTCGACGAACGTTGAAGATGCCAGAAACGCCCCACTGGTTATTTCTTTTGGAGGTGAACCTTATAAACTGGCGGGTTTGATGGTGGGCCAGGATCGACTCAAGAGTGTCCACGCCGAAACTCGAGATGATGTCGCTATTCTTGATGAACAATGAACGATGATGGAACAGGCTCCAGAAGGGAGGGATGGGAAGCTTGGGGTTCGCGGGCAACAGGCGGTTTGCGAAGCTCAGGGAGGCTTTCTGCCAAGGACATGTTGCCGCTTAACTCGGGGGTTTTTAGCACAGGTAGATTTTATCTCCAGGCACTGCAGACAGAGTGCCAGCAGTCTTGACTGGCGAACAATGCAAGCAAATTGCATTGCAGCCGTCTGTGGGTACTCTGGGGAGACGAAGGATCGAGGCATAACGCAGCACACGTCTTGTCCAGTGTTTTGTAGTTAGTTAGTTCGCAGGCGGGATGCTTGGAGTTTGGACGCCGGCCCTTCCCTGGAGACGGTATATGCGTTTGCACACGAGGCATTCGCGTGGAACTTGTCATTCAGCCTACGATGACTTCACTGCGAAGCTCTCTGCTCCAACTGTTGAGTCTACATCCCCCCGGGCCCAGGGACCTTCAGCCTGCATCGGCCGTTAGCTAGTTACATCCACGGTCTTCACCGACAAGAAAGCGTTGCCAAGCTGTAGGCTGGACGGGCCCGCTTGTCCCTGGCCTCCTGAATCAACAAGCCCACTTCCACGTCCCCAGGTAGAATGCCAGCGCTGGCTCTCCCGTCGGAGTGTTGGTTCTCCTCCATATTCCCCCTGCGATGCCCTTGTCTCCAACACGCTCACTAGACGGCGGCCATTAGTAAGCACGTTAATGCAGCACCACATCCCGGAACTCGGACTAACTGCTCCGGCTGACAAAGCACCCCTGTCGACGCTCCATCGCAGCCAAACCGACAACCATCTCCAACGCTGGACACCCATGACCACTTCGATGCGAGTTGGGAAAACTCAAGAATTTGGAATCTCAGCCGTTGCGTATCTTTATCTAAACCTTAATCGTGAAGTTTAGGTTCAGCAGTGAGGTCCTTCAGGCCATCCACTTCATCGCGCTATTGCTGCCTGCTCCATACATGTTCTGCAGCCTTTCTGCTGCTGCAGCCAGCCTTAATGGCTGTGCCTCGCTGATTGATTTCCTGAAACAAATGCGAGCTCTGGCACGGATTCAGCGCCGTGCTGGCTGGATCGGACGCGCTGGCGTGGCGACTGGCCAGACACAGGAAGGCAAACGAACAGAAAATTTGATGACCAGGGTTGAGCCGCAGATTTCTGCAGCAACTCGAATCGATGCCACTGTTGGCGCCGCACCGACCCCTTGTCCCGTACTTGTTGACCCTTGGAACTGTCAACAAAGCCCCTGACATATGTGGATTGATACGAAGGATATCAACCCTGAGACATGCACCCTCGACGCCCCTGGGCGCAGGCATGGTGTTGACAGATGCACCGATATCTTCATCTGTCCTTGGTGCAACCAATCAAGACTGCGGAACGAGTATCCGGAAGTGAAACTCGAGCCAGAAATAGCAACCAGTTCGGCTACAAAAATAACCCTTGGGCAGGCCAGGCTATGAGCCCCTCCGCTTCAAGGCGACAGCGAAACCAAGGCCCAAAACTTTCCGCGATCGTCTTATCTTGTCGATCGCATCGATTAGCTCATAGCGGGTGTGTCCCGTTGTGATCCTACCATGATCTCGGCTTTCCAGCCATTCGCCTCTTCCTCAAGTTTTTGCCATATCGTATTCCTTCACGAATTCCATTCAACCGCTGCCAATATGTTCAAAGTATATCCCACATCCCACATACTACCTCTGAGACTCAGCGCACTCCTTTCGCGACCCCTGAGTATGCATTCTCGGGTCTTTCCTATTGCCCTCCTTATTCCCGGGACCGGCAGGTCCCAGTGGCCGAATATCCTGCGGTTTGCCATTTTCTAGACCGCGGAGGCATCCCAGGCTGCCTCTCGAAGCTGAACACGATATTTGGGGAATGCCGAAGAATCCAGGAAAAGCCCACATGGGTTCCGAAGCACTCCTTTACTCACCATGACACTTTAAAGCTGCGTGGATGATGATTAAATGGCTACAAAGTATATATATACACCATTTCAAGCATCCAAGTACCGAGGAAACAATCGGCGGTCCAGTTCATTAGCAGTTCAACACAGCATCGTTCGACGTGTCTTTGATTGACCGATCGAACAAGATTGCAAACATTCCTGCTAGGATAATTCAACAAACTATCCCAATGGATTCCCGCTTCTTTCTTTTAGCAGCTCCTGTTGCCGTCGTTGCAGCTATTCTATGGAGAAGGCGCCCGAAGACCGTTGAAGCGAGCAACCCGGGCAATTCGTGGATGATCCGGGACTTAGCAGCTTTAAAGGACCGTTGCGAAGCCGCCGCGGCTTTATCGAAGCTTGTCGAGGAGGATGGCGCCGGAAGCTGGCCGCCAAAGGCAGATCACAACTCGTGGCCAACACCGCTACTCCCCTACAAGGATATCTACCTAGAACTTGCCCCACTTTTACCGACTCCCAGGCCATCGCTTGATTCGGAGGTCAATGACGAAAAACGTGCTAGATACCGTTCGCTGATGCGAAGACTACTATCAGAGCGCATCAACGTCCCTCAGGTTGAAGACATCTTGGCTACAGTTGAAACTGGAAACTGGGAGTCGTTCCCCCGAGATGCATATAATGGATTTTACTGCTGTATCGCAGTGCTGCGTCACGCCTATAGGTTGGTATTATCCACACTGCCTGTTTCTTCTTTTTTTTTTTCAAAAAGAAATGTCGTTGCTAAGTTTCGTTCAGGTGGGCAACTATTCCAGTTGTCAAGGTCGCACAAAGTGAGACCGTTATTAATTTCCCGGCTGAACTCGATGCGCCTTGGCCATATCTTCAGCGAAATTTCGGCGTAGATGCCGACAGCGGAAACAACACTTCAAACGTTTTGCTTAACTTTGATGTAAATGGTGAAAGGATCTATAAGATTAACGTTGGCTTGTCAGAGGTGATCAGGTCATCTGAAGATGTTTTCTTCAAAATGTTCTATGACTTGGAAGTAATGGTAGGAACTCGCTTTTCGGAATATCGAAGTCATTGATCCTAACTGTTTTACGTTCCAGGCATTCCCGATATATTATGATATGGTTCGAGCCATTATTTCCTTTGAAGAGAAAGACAAGGCATCCTGCGTGAGGTATCTTCGGCACCTCAACGCCATGCTTCGAGAACTTCTCTTAATTTTTTATCACAACCTCAATGATTCGCGAGTATCTCGCTCTGTCTGGCTGAGCCACATCCAAGGCTTTCAGGGCTGGGGTGTCGGAAAGACCGTCGATGGCGAATTTGTCAAGTACGATGGCCTTTCTGGCAATCACGTCTTAGCATTCCAAGCCATCGACTCCTTTCTGGGCATGGAACCTTATCTTCCCGAGGAGAATCTACTCCGATATATTCCCGCAAACCAACGAGCGCTTTGCCTCATGTTCAAAAAATGCTCTTTCCGCCCACGATTAGAGGAGAAGGATACACAGATCAAAGACGAGATTTCAAAGATTGCGAAGCAGCTCAGGGTATGTATTGATCACCACCAGTCGAAGAGTGGGGGGCTTTCTAACGATTGACGTACAATGCAGGCATTCCGAGCAGCACACCGGACGAGAGTCATTCCATATCTAGAACAACCCGCGCCGGAGCGGTTCACTATGACGGCGGGGAAATCTGTGTTACAGGGCACGCTGTCGGAGGCGATTAGGTTCTTGGATGACATGATGCTACGGCGGCTCAAAGAGACGATGTAAATGGGAGGGATTGTATAGATGATGGGTAGATAATATTTTGTTAATACTCCAGGTACAGCGGCGCCTTCGATACATTAGACGGATAGCTATAAATAGAATTGTCATACTTCTCTCTCAGCGCTAACCGCATTTGGTTTTTAACCGTGTCCATGTGACTGGCTTAGTCAGCACTTTGATCTCGGGATGCTCAAAAGCTGTTGAATTGCTATGAACTACAGTGCCATGAACCAGGACAGTACCGCACGGAACAGTGAGGCCAAGGTTGCCCTGGCTCACCAGCATCAGGATAAACCAATCTACAATTCAATGGCATGCGCAAATGGACCACGCTGCTGACCATGGAAGCAGTTACAACATACCGTTGAAAGCAATATTGGCAACACCTGAGAGAAAGTGAGCTTCAGTAAAGTCACACTTTACTCAGAGGGTCTGGTGAGGTGTGACTGAGCCTTATGACACAAGCCACAATGTGAAGGTGGTAATCACCACAAAGGTGGCAAGGACTGAGATTATCAGGAGCCATCAGAGAGTGCCCAAGGAGGATTTTATGATGAAAAGATACCTTTCCACAGCGTCGTTTGGGGGCGCTATTGGGAATCAAGGCAACTTGATCGTCCAGGACGAGCCAAACAGCTTCGCCAAGTCAGCCCTGGACGGTGTCTGCTAAGTATCGTTGATCGAACACCGATCTCTACAGAGGCATACAGTATTGGGATTTGTATGCCAGCTTCGGGGCAGGACTTCAGCCCGACACCGCCAGTAGATCAGCTGCACCTTTCCGCAGTGCTGGTGACTACGAGTGTGCATGAATTTGGGAACTATACGGAGGCAAAGGCGGGTTCGAAAGATCAAATCGGATGGGCATCCTCGGTTTTGGAATTCTTATGACTTGGTTATTTTTTTTCCACATCTGTGCCTCCTTCTCGGGCCCGATCTTTCTACCCAGGCTGGAAAAAGAGCAAGCCAATTGACATAGGAGCTGTTAAGCTTCGGGTGGCAACATGACCTGCAGTCTGGTGTGTCTCCAAGACGCAATCGTGGACCCTATCTTTGGCCTCTGAGCCCGGTTTTCCTACCACGAGAAGCTTCGTCGGGCACAATCATGTCTCCGAGACGCTTGGGAAGTGGTTTTGTGGGCTCAGATCGGGCAGCGTTTTGTCTGCTCCTCTGACTTGGGCAAGTGTTCCGTTACCCTCAGAATCTTTTTCTTTTCGCGGCGATTCCAAATTACTTCCTGAGCGCTTCTCGTTTCATTTCCGCTACGCTTGGGCACAGCTCGCAAAGACATACTCTCCATGGAGATACTATTAAAAAGCAAAGGCTGAACAAGGCAAAGATTTTCTATCGTCCGCTTTGTTGCGTTCTTCCTTTTGCCCTCAAGCACACCACAGCCGCAACCCTTCCTGCCGTGTCGCGTGTGCCCTGCTCCCCCCATTTCCTCCGACTCCGCTTCATGCGGCTCTATGGAGCCAACAATCACCCGGGTGACGTAAGTTATAATGGATGCGTTTGCTTGCATTCTTGCCAGTGTTTGCATATTGCATCTTGTGTGTTGGAAGCCATAATAGCGAGCATGAAGTGGTGTGGTTCCTTGACTATGGCTTGCAGCAATGTTTTGTGTTCTCGAAACACTTGTTTCAAGTATTTTTCTTCATTTCTTTCTTATTTCATTGGTGCAGGTGACTCCCAGGGCGCGCTAATTGGTGATAGCCTTTTTGCTTGCCGTGTTTCCGCTGCCGGTCCCAACATTGGCCATGTGTTCCGAGGAGTTGGCTGCACCGTAGCGCGTTAGGCGCGCGTTTAACCGACCCATTCCGCATGAGTCTTCTCCCAGCCCCCGAGCTGGACCGCCTCGGGGTTCCCTTGCCGTCGCAGCCATTCTCGCAGGCTGTGTGATCCCGGTGCGCCTACTGCGCACGTACGAAGAATCTGTTGCGGTTTCAGTTTGGCCCAAGGCCGATGAGAAGGGTGCGTGGGCCAAGACCTAACGAGGCATCGTCGACGACGTGCAAGTGACGATGAATGGGTGGACGAATTGCGCGGTTGGATGTACGGATTTGAGATCGCTCAATGGTTATGGCTGGGGATGTGCAATGTGGTTGTACGCATGTTTCAAAAGTTACTCTGTAGAGATGCGAGGATTTCAAGCTATAATCCTATTTAACAGCTGTGATGCCGCAGATAGAAAATTCTAGTGCATTCAGATTTGAGTAAATGCAAAAACTCCCAGGGAAAATGCGGTAGGAAGTATACTATATCCAATTCCCGCTGTAGAATGTCAACAGCGATCTATAGCAAATGCACACAAGCATGATCTGATATCTATCATGGAGAGACATTGCGGTTTTCCAGACATGTTTCACACATCCAGCTTTTCCATGGCATCCTCAACCCCCGTGCCAACAGACACCTCCTTACTCCCGGGCCCCTTCACAGACCCATCAGGCTGTGCTACTATCCCCTTACCGCCACCGGGGTACCGCGATCCTTTGTCCCGGACCTTTTTCTTCTTCTTCTCTGGCTCTGGCGGTGGGTAGGCTTTCTTTTCGATTTCCTGCCAGGCGGGGTTTGCCTGGAATGCGGCCTGGACAGGGGCCAGGATCTTGTTCAGGGCGGTGGTTGTGGCGGCTTTGAGGAGCTGTGGTGTGAGCTGGCAAGATGGGTTAGCATTTTTGCGGCTTGAATATGGATAATGATATTTTCCCTTACTGTGTCGGCAATATAGTCAGCTTTCAGGGCGTCGATGTTGTTGTAAACCAACGGCCCGCCCTCCTCTTCTCTCCTGTCGACGACGAACTTGGCCGTTCCGTCGGCGCTCTCCAGCGCGCTTACGGGGAGTAAGACGTATTCGACAAAGCTGATGATTCCGTTCCCCTCTGTTTCCTTGGGCATGGCATAAGCCTTCCTCAGCTTCTTCTTCACGGCGTCCGGGGTGTCTAGGATGTCAATCTTCGAGTCGGGGTCCGAGGCAGACATCTTTCCACCGGCCAGGCCCGGCACCATGGGATTCATCAGGTGCGCGCGTTCCTTGTAGCCAATGCGTGGCAGGGTCTCCATGGCGAGGGTGAAGATCTTGCGCTGATCCACGCCACCGAACTGCGCATCGACGCCCAAGTGCTCCTCGTCGAGAGCCTGCATGAGCGGGTAGATGAGGCCGGACAGCACGGCGTTCTCGACCTGCTTCACGACCTCGGCGCCGGCCTTTTTGGCGTCGTGCTCGGTGACGACGCTGCTGAGGCGGAAGAGGTCCATGGTGTATTTGGCGGAGAGCTGGTAGGAGCTGCCGAGGACAAACTCCAGCTTGTCGGTGGGGACGTGAACGGCTTCGAGGAGGGCGGTGATGACATAGCGATAGTAGTCGGCGCGGAAGTTGACGAGCTCAATGGGGGCTTTGAGGTTGTCGAGGAAGCCGTGGATGTCGGCGAGGAGGATCTTGATGTGGCAGCCGGCGCGGAGGAAATGAGCGAGCTTGACGATGGGGACGAAGTAGCCGCAGTGCGGCCGGCCGGTGGTTGCGGTGCCTGCGTGCGCGATCAGTCGGCATCATTTACGGAGAAAGGAGCGGGGTTGACTCACCCCAGTAGATGGTCAAGGGCCTGTTCTGGCGGACGATGACATCTTCTAGGATCTCGGGCTTCAGGACCTCCTGGAGATTGAGCTTGATGAGGTCGAGCTTCTCCTGCGGCGACAGATCGAGAGCCATGGCAGCAATGGTCTCCAGACGGGCTGCGCGGTGTCTTTTTCTTCTTGTCTTTTGGGTCTTTTCTGGCAAATGGCGGGGTGATTAGTAAGATGAAGATTATGTAATATCATTAGTCAGCATTGCTATTAATAGCGGTTAGTCATCCTCCCGTTTTGGGCGACGCTGGAGACGCTGGACTGCGCATCTTTTGCTTGAATCCTGATATCCCACGATCGACACCCAGATTTGTGGGTATTCGCAGGTGATGTTGCGACTGGTGACCAGGCCCGGTGTCACCACCAGCCGGAGCCTTGTCTTGGATTGAGTGACGGTTCCCGGCGTGAGACACCAGATCTCGAGTGGCTGGATGTGGCTGGCACATAGTCAAAGCTTGGTTGAAACGCAGCCAATGGCCGGCAGCGAGCACCAGGAACGCGACCGGGATGGGCGATGGAGAGACGCAGGAGAGCCGGCAGAGGAGGCTGGACTCATCAATCCGGCGCAAAAAGAGAGCGTGCCCCAGCCTCCTCGGCAGTTGTGGCAGCAGCTGTTGCCTCTGCGATACAAACTAGTTGCTGGTTAGTGCGGTGGAGCACAACACGCAACCTCTGCTTGCCCCCTGGAGACCGCACTTATATCACAACAGACCTCCTCTCTCTCTCTCTCTCTCTCTTCTCTCCATCTCCCATCATCAGCCTTCTTCCATCATCACCGCATCCTTATCTCCTCTTGCACTCATCTTCTCCTGATCTCAGCTCAGCCGCACTGACCATGAAGTTCACGGCTGCGGCTGCATTGGCCCTTACGGCCGCCCCCTCCCTGGTGGCAGCACAGATCTTTACCGAGTGTGATCCAACCAAGAAATGTGAGTGTGTGAACCAAATGCCGTGAACTAGAGCTAATTTGTTGTAGCCTGCCCCCCCAATCCTGCACTCGCGGGAACCGCCTCGTTTGACATGAAGAGCGCCTCTGACCGATTTATCATCGTCGGAAACTCCCCCACCTATGGCGACGACGGTGCCTCCTTCACCATCAACAAGCAGGGCGAGGCGCCCACTCTCCAGTCCAAATTCTACATCATGTTCGGCCATCTTGACGTCGAAATCAAGGCTGCTCCCGGCCAGGGCATCGTCAGCAGTGTCTTCATGGTGTCGGACAGCCGGGACGAGATCGACTGGGAGTGGGTGGGCGGCAACAACGGCCAGGTGCAGACCAACTTCTTCGGAAAGGGCCAAACCGCCACCTACGACCGCTCCGTCTGGCACCCCAACCCCGGCAACCAGGATGCCTTTCACAAATATTCGATCGACTGGACCAGCGAGCGCATTGAGTTCTCCATCGATGGAAATCTGATCCGCACGGTCACCCCCAACGATGCTAATGCCAAGGGCCAATACCCCCAGACGCCCATGCGCATCAGATTCGGTTCTTGGGCCGGAGGTGACCCCAATAATTCCCAGGGAACCATTGGTGAGTGATTCTTGTGGTTCTCACTTGCCGCAAACGAAGTACTGACGGCACAATCCAGACTGGGCCGGTGGTTTGACCGATTTCAGCAAGGCACCATTCACTATGCAACTCAAGAATGTCGTCGTCACCGACTATTCTACTGGTAAAGAGTATCGCTACAAAGATCAGAGCGGAACTTGGCAGTCCATTGAAGCCGTCGACGGCGAGGTCCACGGCTCGGGAACCCCTGGTTCAGGCCCACAGGTAGAGTCTTCACTTCCACCAGCAGAAGCCACCATTGCCCCCAGCCAAGGTATGACCTCAGGTTCAGGAGCACCGAGCGTGTATCCGTGGATCCCAAAAGACCCTTCCAAGACACCCACCACTGCAAGTGCGTCAGTAACAGGATTTCCAGGGCTCCCCAGTAGTTGGTTAGTCACCGACGATGGGAGACCCTCTACGCCGAGCACGGCTTCTGTGAGTGAGCAACACCCCTTTGACTTGGTTTTCTCCCCTGTGTTTGCTTCTCAGATCGACTAATCAATTCGTGATTAGACCGATTCCCGTATTTCGTCATCGCCTTCGCCTTCGTCTTCGGATTCTCAATCTTCTGGTGGCCCTGAACCCTCGGAGACTGGTTCGCCTTCTCGACCAACCGGCGATGGTGCAACCTTCGTCACTTCTGGTTTACCGGTGACTAGTGGTGGAACCAATCCATCCGCGACCGAGGCTCCGCCAAATGCTGCGGCCCACCTCTCCAGCCCCTACTACGGATTCGCTGCCATTTGCGGTATCATGGGCCTGGCTGTGCTCCTATGAGAGACGTAATGCCATGATCCTGGCGGATCCCACTATTTGTACAGTTCCGAAGATGATACATATACGAAGAGTTACGTGGCTTTGACGAGGTTATATCCGGGAATGGTTACTGGAGTTTTGCTCGGGGAATGGGGTATTTCAGGTGGGAGTTACGGCAAAACGTTTGGCTGACGTATTCTCTTTGCGCGGCCAATTTATTTTCTACCTTCCAGCCTCGATTTGAGGGTCTCTAGAACGGTAGGGGATGGAACGCATTATGTCGGCCTCTACGATTTCTTTTTCTTTCCATTCTCGGCTCCTCCCCTATGGCTGCATGATAGATGTCAGGGTTAGATATTATGGCTCTTGGTCCTGCGATTAGACCTGATAGGATAGTATTAATAGTAATTGGTTTGTGAAACTTGACAGCTGTCTTGAAGAACGGAGCATTTGCATAAATTGATCTGAATCAGGTATCATTCCCGAATACTGCCTACTCATAAATTTGAGGCGTTGAACCCAGCAATGACCTATCCGAAGCAGCGCTTGTTGGACGCTTTCCCATGAAACGGTCGACATCCATGCAACCTCATCTTCCACATCCCAAGTTCAGCGCTTCAAACAGATCCTATTCGGGCCGCCAACCTAGATATTCCCCAACGTTAGCCCTCCCCAAAGCAAAAGCGGAAGAGCAAAAAAAAAAAAGGCGGGAACGAAGCAAGAAAGCTTACCGGCTTCCATCGACATCGCAGTCCGGCACAGCACTTGCCGCGTCTCCTGCCACATCGTCCGTTCTCCCTCACGCACGCTTGGGCGGTCTCCTCGAAGACGGTGCCGGCCAGATCGGGGACGGGTTGTGGGTTGGGGTCGGGGAGGGCGAGGACGGTGGTGAGGCTGGTGAGGAGGAGGAGGATGACGGTGGTGGATTTCATGGTGACGGAAGTCGTGGAGTGTAGACTGACTTTCTTTTTTGTCCTTCAATGAAACAAGGATGAAGATTCTTGGAAACACTTGGTATCCAGGGCGGGTGATGCGGTGCAATTTATATCCTGGGGGCCCGGTGGGCGGGAAGGGGATTCCTTTTTTATCATCTCCCAGCGCGATAGTTATGGGTGTTTTCTCTACTCGCGAGTTCCTGGGGGACCTCAATGGAATGGCAGCGTTCATGGCTAGTTAGTTACCGGATCCAAAGCCGTGTAACTACCACGCCGGGAACATATCATCATAACCATCTTTGATGCCCCATGTTGTACATTGCGTACTCTGTACCCATCTCAACACCATGTTGGACTGGGGAAAATGGGTAGTTTACCGTGGTTATACGGCCTCAAACTGTTGCTCCTCTTTGAGAACTCGGCCATCGACAGTGATCGACATATAAATCCGCTCGTTACCCCTTTGTCTGCCTGGCACCGTTCCAAGCAACAGGAACCGATGCAAGATTGGATGCGGCATTCGACAAAGATGTGACGACTGAACAAGTGCAAGGAGAGAAGGAACATGATCGCAGAGTGGCTTGTGCATGTTTCTCAGGCGCAAGAAACGATTGTGATTCGGTTAATCGTTGATTCACATCGAGAACAGGGGGGTGTTCCAAGACTTAGGCGTCCCCGCGATAGTTAGAGCCGATCTTCATTGCTTTTTTTTTTTGATAGTTATTTCTTTTTTTCGCTGATGCGAAAAGCGACAACAGACTCTCCAAATCTTGCTGACCCTGCTCCCCCTTCTCCCCATGGAAGAGAAATTCCTTCAAAAGGCCTGGTCGGACAATCGTCCCACCTTGAATCCTGCAGGACCGTGGGAACCGAGAAGCATCCCGCTGTCTAGAGCTGTTTTTTTTCGGGCCGGCAGCAGGAAACAAAAAAAGCCATTGTACCACGTTTTCATGTAACTAGCCAATGCATTAGGAACGCTTAGCTCCAAAGCCGAGAAAAGCTTGATCAGGCGGTCTCCTTGGCCCTGGGCTTTTGGATATCCAGGGTTCAATGCCCCGATTAGCGATTCGAGATGTGGGTAGTGGATCGAGTCGTGGTACATGCGCGTGCGATGGAGGCGGGTGAATCGAAGATCAGGTCGTTGGGCGAAAGACTCGAAGACGGGGAACCTGAAGATTGATGAAAAAAGGAGCCAAGTACCAAAAACGAGTGCGGGATATGAGACGTTATTCTTGATAAGATATACATGGCTACCAAAGTGCCAGGTTGCTTCCAATTTCAAGCTAGAAAATAGCCAAACATGTACAGCTCAGTACATCATTTCCATCATATACAAAATATATCACATCAACCAACACATTAAGCAGGACTTGAACCCTCCCAAGTCCCAGACTGGGGGAAAATCCAACAAAGCAAGCGCGACAGTAAATATATACGGAAAGACTCATCTCAATTGCCCTCCTTCACAAACACACAATCCAGCCTCTGTCCCGGACTCAGCGTAACATCAAACTTGAACTTCGGATCCGTCCCCGGCGGCGGTGTTCCTACGCCCACAATCCCTGTGAAATGCTGCAAGATCCTCGTGATGGTATACGCCATCTCAATCGTCGCAAACTGCTGACCCAGACAGATCCGTGGCCCCCCGTTGAACGGGATGAAGTGCCACGGCTTGGGCTGCCAGCCTGATGTCCAGCGCTCCGGGTGGAACAGGAGCGGGTCAAAATACGGCTGGGAAGGCTTCTCGCCCGGTAGAGGCGGCGCGGGGTAGAGATCGCGTCGTCGTTGCATGGCCATGGTGGAGTAGATGATGCGAGTGTCAGCGGGGACGCCGATGGGGGAGAGCCCGTCTGGGCCGCCACCGCGGGGAAGGGTGGTGTCGACGAGGGAGTGGCGGACGTTGAAGGGTACGACGGGGTAGAGACGCATGGTTTCGTTGAGAACGGCGTTGAGGTACTTCATCTCCTTGAGTTCAGAGTAGGTGGGTTTGCGGGTACCGCAGACAGAAGCGATTTCGTGGCGGATTTTCTGCACGACGGCGGGATGCCGGGAGAGTTCAAAGAGGCAGAATGAGAGTGTGGCGGCGGTGGTGTCGCGGCCGGCGAGGAGCACAGCGACGAGTTGATCGCGGAGCACGGTCGGGTCGCGGGTGAAACGTGCGAGGGCGTGGAGGAAGGTGTCTTTCTTGGACAGCTTATGGTCGAGTTCTTCGGGAGTGAGGGCGCGGACCTGTTCGATGAATGGCTGCATAAAGTCGTCCATCTTCTTCAGGTTCTCGTGGAAGAGTTTCCGCGACATAAGCGGACTGATGGGGCTGCAGAGGTTTGTTAACAAACACAAGGAGACAGGCGATGCGAGATGAGAGGGAGAGAAGAGCATACCCAGCGCGGAAGAGAACCGATTGGCGATGAAGTACGTATTGGAATGCTTCTGCAAAAGTCGTCTTGGGGTTATCCAAGCTGTCCACGCTGTGGCCCAAAAGATAGTCGGTGGCAGCATCCAAGGTGAATCGGAAGAACAACGGCCCAACATCGACGGTTTTGCTTCCATCTTGATTCAGATCGCCAGAGAGCAGCGGGATCAGCTTGTGGATGTGCTTCTCGAAGATCTCGGTATCGACAATCCGATCTCTCGCAAACATTGGGCGAAGCAGCTGTCTGGATTTAGACCAGAGCTCGCCGTCAGTCGCAAAGATGCTGTCTCCCAGGAAATCCCGCCATTCCTCGTGGAACCTTTTGCCCTTGCCGTAGTCAGCGAACTGGCCAGTGAGCACGGTTTTGATGATATCTGGATCGGTCGTGAAGACACTGCGGCCATAGCATCGGAACTTGACTTCATATGTACCGACTGGTCCTGGCCCGTGGGATGGGAGTTCCTTGGCCAGCTCAGTCCAGAACTCGAGGTCTTTACTCTGGCTGCCAGCCTTCATAACCCGGTAGATAAAGTCGAAACCTGGGCCAACGGTCAGCTCGTGGGGGATGATCCTTACATCTAGGATAGTGCTCACCCAAAGGTAGATATGACTTTATCCGCGGTGATTGCGCTCCTAATTTGCGGATGCGCCAGTCAATTCTGCAATCCAGTATGAACAGGAATACGGCAAAGAGGCCGAATGCAACCAGGGCTGCCTGCGCAGGCGAGAACCTGGAGGCCAATTCTTCGAGCATGATGCTGCGATGTTGTTTGCGATGCTGGTTCTGCCTCTGGCTACTCCACGTCTGCAGTCGTGAGCGATAGCTCTCCAATATTCAATTCCGGGATATGTATTTTGAGGTATCAAGGCAACCAAAAAAAAAAATAAAAACAAAATTGGAATGGCCGTTCCCAGGAACGAATGGCAGGTTCTCAGGCGCACAGTATAGTATCCAATGGTCCCGAGAGAAGAAGAAGATATACACGAGCGATTAATCCATTAACACTTGAGAGAGTCTGCGCTGGGCGACTTGCAATGGATGCACAGGAGGGTTGATAGTGACCCCGCCCTCGACCACTTCAACTCATCAGCTCCGTCGCTCGCGATCCCAGAGAGACGAGGAACAGCTGGGCAGATTGAATTCAAAAGCGAATTGGCGTCTAGGGACCGAGGCTCACGCTCAGCCAAGCGAGAGAGGAGGCACGAAACGACCGTTCGATACGTATGCCCTGGGGGAACAGCGGGCGGATCGACGCGGGTGCTGGGGGCCCGTTGGAAGAGACAGAAGCTATCAGGTCTTTTGCTGCCAAACAATTGACGGAGACACAGAGAGAGAAAGGGAAAACAGAGGCCCGCGAGACGCCCCGTCCATGGGTTTTAAGAAAGCCAACCCGCTCCACCCCGGTGAGATGAACGTTGCTCTCCACAGCCATGGTGCCCGCTCTGGTCGTCGACCCCGGCTTCACATGCTTTGACGCCCTGAGACGAGGGCCCTGGCCGGCCGCGATTCTGCGTTTCGAGAACTGTTGCGCTGTGGAGAGATGCACCGCTTAGTGTCTGGGCAATCGGATTCCCGGAGCAACTTGGGCGATGTGATGGAGAGCACTTTGGCGACGACGACATCATCGCGGCTTTTCTCCTCACACGGCGAATACGAATGCGGATGGGCAGCCCAATGGACAGGACGGAAGAGGCGTACTCGTACTCGGGGCCACGATCATTGACAGGATGCAGGATGAGATGAAATGCTCTTTGTTGGTTTGGAAACGAGCCGGGATCGCAACAATAACTATCAACCAACGCCGTTGTTGGACTTGAGAAATAGCACTCTCACTCGTTCCATGATATTGGATAACTACTGGGAAACGTGTCGTCTAATTGATCTTCTACCCTACAATCTCCCGTGCGGTAGCTTTGCCAGTCTTCCCAAGCCATCCCAACCGCAGCGACCTTGCCGGGCTATGCATGCAATCGAGGCAGAGGCCTTGAAAGTAATCCCTCACATCTGCGCACGCTGAATCCACGCCAACACTCTATCCTGTCTCTGCCGCGGCTCTCCCTCATACCAACTTTGTTGTCAGCATCTGCCAGCGCGTGAAGATAAGCCGCTAGAAAAGCAGCTCGTGACAAAGCTGAAGCGAGGCAACACGCTTTTTGGTTCTCTAGTTAGCACTTCTTACACTTTGAACTGAAAACTTGGCTCCGGCTTCAATCGGCCCAGAGCTCGCCTCGCAGGGAACAATCCAAGACCTACATTGCGGAGTGTTGGGATCTACTATGAATGCTGGAGAAATCGGGACTATTTCGTCTCATGCTTCTGAAGTTCTGAATTGAAGGCCAGAGCAATTTAAGAAAAATAGATAGCATAGGATAGAGCTCGCGTACCTTGACAACTTTGCCGTGAGGATCTACATCCAACAGAAGCTGCCTCGCGGAAAATGGGAGTAAGACATCAATGGCTGATTATTGTCTGGTTTGCGATTCCCATCCAGATGAGAAATCGGCTGTAGTCGTTATTCAACCGTAAGAGGTTGTTATTATATACTTAGGATTAAAGATTATCTCGATGGTAATAAACGGCCCCAACACCGTGACTCTCTGGGGAAGATCTGACGTGCTCCTATCCCGACCCAGTGATTATCATCACAAACGACGTCAAAGCTCACAGCTACCCTCCCGCATAAGGCAATACGTCATCTGCACTACGCTCGCAGCAATACCCAGGTCGATTACCGCCCGCTCTCTCCATTCTCCAAGCCGGTAGGATGCACCCTTGATGTCGTCTCGAACCCGCGGCCCGCTCCAGAGGACTTCCGCTGCAGAGGCCGCTCGAGGCCAGATCATGGGATCCATGTTGATAGGATCCACGTTCTCTGCCCACATGTGCGTTTCGCCGCCTTCAAGCAAGGAATGTAGCTCCTGCGGTATACCCGCCAGCGGGTTGTACATGTATACGTGTCGCCAGTTCTTGGTCGGAGAGCACCAGTCAAGGTACGGTTCCTTGATCGCATTGGACCCGTGCCGCGGGTTGATAAAGCCCCCATATCCGCAATCAAGATACCATACATCCCCTGAACCGAAAATCGCACGGTAGCCCTTCTCCAGCACCTTTTTCATCGCCAGTGAGTTTCGCCAGGTCTGTACAATGACGCGCTGCGACTCCGAAACTGGGGATGGAAATGTAAGGTTCCAGTCTAGAACGAGCTCTTCCCAGACAATTGGTGTCAAGCCAGCGTGCATAATCTTCCTATGCACACGGGTTATGATAGCTTGCAGAAGTGGCTTGATGACTTCTGGATCCTTCGAACGGATAGAGTCTTCTAGCAGATAGCTCTCGAGATTGAACTCGTCTCCACCTGTATGGAAGTACCTGCTAAATGGAGACACTCGCGGTAAAATATCCGCCATGACGGTGTCGAGGAAATCTGTAGCTGCGGAATCGTTTAGCTTGATTTGACCACAAGGGGGTTCTGCCGCAAACTTTTCCCAGCGGTCGTTCCCGAATGCAACAGTTAGATTGGGAAACGCATGGCCAATAGACCCTGTGTGGCCTGGCATGTCGATTTCGATAAATGTAGAGACACCTCGTTCCAGACCATATCGTTGCACCCGCCGCAAATTCGCGGCACTCCAAACAAGACTCGGGTGATATGCACCCTTGGCTGCTAGCGAGGGTATTGATGGGATATCCAACGGCCACGACTGAGAATCTGTAGCGTGGATATGAAGTCGGCTCAACTTCACGGATGCCATGGCATCGATCGTTCTTTTCACATCGCTCGGGCTAATGGGATTTCGGGAGATGTCAAGGTTGAGGCCCCGGTAAGACCACTTTGGCTTGTCCATGATTAAAACGGGGCTGTAAGGGGTATATACGCCACCGGACGAGTGGGCATAGAACAGCTGTGGGAGGGTTTGGAGTGCGCGGAGAGTCCCAATTGGAGATGATGTCGAGATCGTGGCTTTGCCTTTCTTCGAGATCTTGATCTGGTAGCTTTCATCTCCATGAATATAGTCATAGCCTAATGATTCAACGTCTGATTCCCTTTCGCGAATTACAACCTCCTTTAGTGTCGCTTCGGTTTGACTCAGAGTAGGTGGCTCAAAGGATTCGTTCCGGGGGTGGAACTTCCAAGGCACAAACCTAGTGTTTAAAAGATGCTTTCGGGTACGTTTGATGGCCTTTTTCAGAATCTCATCGACCGACTCCGCAGAAGTTTGGTGATAATTGCCGTTCAGGAGCCATTGTGGTTGTAGGAACTCAGTGAAGCGTCCAAGTTGTGGCAGCGCGGCCGAGTAGCTCCCACCTTCACCATGGACAATGAGATCCCCACGGTGGTAGGTAAAGCGGACCGTCGGTGATAGCCACACCACGTTGTTTCCTTTCTGATAGTGGTTGGGCTCGGGCCAGACAGCATAGACGAAGTTAGTGACTGTGAGCAGCAGGCATGTCGGAATCAATGAGCGCATTTCTGCAGGTGCTCAACAGCGAGGTTGCAACCTTGCGATATATCAATATCAATCAGACCATAAAGCTTTACGGCAACACTTTGAGCATCTAAACTCTTCAAAGGCAGCCAGCTCCAGGCAGCTAAACCGAAGCCCGCATCAGTTGAACAGCATCATTAGGTAGCCAGTTTGATGCCAAGGAAAGAGCAGCGGGAGATGATGTCAGCCTCAAGCCACACATGGGTTATGTAATATATACCAGCCACAGCCAGTGACTAAGCAATTTCTTACTAATTCTGTGGCTGGTGGGCGTCGGACTTGCCCAGAATCTCGCAGTTCAACAGAGAAAGACGAGCTTCACCATCAGAGCTTCTGCCTGCTTTTCTTTCAGCCGACGTTCCTTTGGCCTGGTGGGAGGCTGTCACCTCTAGTTCTATTATACCCCCAATCCTAATTCTCTTCTCTCTGCATTCCGCGTTTCCCTCCCCGCGGCCTCTGTCTCCTTGATTTCGAATCTGATCTCGTCCCTTTCTCATCGCCACCGAATCACAACTTTCATCGCCTCGTGTCCGCTGCATAATATATAAAATGGCCATCTCGGTCGAGTTACACACACCTCTGGCCCAGGCACTCAACGAGGTAATACAGCCAAAGCTGGTGGAAGTTGGATGGAGCACCGGCGGTGGAGATGATTCGGCCCTTGCGGAATACGTTATCTTAATGCTAGTCAACGGCAAAACACAAGAGCAAATTGCATCAGAACTCGCAAACGATTTACTTGGCCTTGGGCCTGACGATACGGAGGCTGTAGACTTTTCAAGATGGCTGTTCGAGCAAGTTGAGGCTCTCAACAAGAAGCTGAATGGTGAACCAGCTGAGCCGGAGCAACAGAATCCGGCCCAGGCTATCCCATCATTTACAGAGGCAAGCAAAGACGCCACACCATCTGCTGATGTGTCGGCGAACGTGGATACAGAAATGGGCGATTCTTTCTCGCCAGCGCGAGAAGGTGGGATGTAAGTATCAAGTTTTGCATATTTGTGTGAGGACTTCGGAGGACTAACATCTCGACCTTTCTTTTCTTGTTAGACCCAGTGGTCCTAGGACAATGCGGAATCCCAGACAAAACGGAAGGGGCCGGATTCTTGGTCAAATCTCGAGAGCCATGGATCGATCTAGCGATTCGGTTCTGCATAGGGTTCGAAACCAACATGGCACGGAGAGAATAAACACGCATCGCGAACCGCCAAAGGGCCCTAGAGCATTTCACTCTAGAGGAGGCCGCCCTGGAGGGGGCAGGCCAGCGGGTGGGATGGGCATGAACATTATGGGGATGGGAAACGGTCCCATGCACAATATGCCACCAGGTTCCAATATGATGACGCCGCAGCAGCAAATGCAAATGATGGCTCTCTTTGAAGAGCAGGCTCGCATGATGGCGCAGTTTATGCCAGGATTTGTCGCGCCGGCTATAAACCCCGCGTTTCAGGCCCCGCAAGCCCAACCGAATGGACGATCGCTTTTTGAGCGTGCTGAGCAGCAACCGGATAGAGGGAACTCCTTTCAACGACGACACCAGAATGGCCGGTCGACTCATCAGAATACAAATATGGATGTGGATGGTGGCTCAAAAGGGAATGCAGCAGACGTTCAAATGGATGACGCACCGCCGCAGAATAAACACCAAGGCCAAGCGCCGGATGGTGTTTGCAATTTCAATCTGAGGTGCACCAATAAGGATTGCCCTTATGCCCATCAGTCTCCCGCAGCGCCGGAAGGCACCACAATAGACATCTCGGACGCCTGCCCATTTGGAGCTGCGTGCAAGAACCGAAAATGCGTTGCTAGACACCCTTCTCCGGCGAAGAAAACGGTGCACCAGTCCGAAGAGCTATGCAGGTATTTTCCGCACTGCCAAAATTCTCATTGCCCGTTTAAACACCCAACCATGCCACTTTGCCGCAATGGCGCAGATTGCTCCGTTCCTGGATGCAAATTCACCCACCAACAAATACCTTGCCGTTATAACCCATGTCTTAATCCGTCATGTCCCTTTAAACACGCCGAGGGTCAGAAAGGCGTCTTTTCGGACAAAGTTTGGACTCCGCATGGAGCGGAAAGCAAAAGCGGCCAGCACGTCAGCGAGCGGAAGTTCGTGGCTGATGAAAATGGGGAAGAAGAGCTGATCAAGCCTCATGCGCCTTCATCTAGCGAACCTGAGATTGTCACTTGAGTGAATCTTCTAAAAGCACATTATTGGCTGGGATCATGACATGATATCGTTTTGTTAAATGTTTTCGTTCCACAAATGCCGGTTCTATATTTTCTTTCTGAACTTCATTTTGGCATGAATGGCGTTGATTTGAACTAAAGGCTGGTTGGTGAACTGGGCCGAAAGGAGGAAGGGCAATGTTGACATCTTTTATACGGCGTCACTCTACGATTCTGCTACAATTAGATGCTAAATAGTGTACAGTTTGGGGATCAGATTAATATATTGGTTTCATTGTCCCTTGCAAGAGGTTTTGTCCCTATCAAGTGTTCAGGCCCATTCAGCCGACATTTGCAGTTGGCGCGACTTGGATTCGCCATCTCTAATCACACTCTAAGACAGTTTGCGCCTCACATGGAGGATTTAATAGCTCCATATTTGATGACCTAACACACCACGCGGTACATAGTTTTCTTTCGTTTGAATTCTCCTTTGAAAGCCCTGCAATGCGCCCGCGATGCTCGCCCGCCCGTGCACTTGAAGAGCTTCGGACATTTGCCCATGCGAAGCGCCGGCCTCACGCCAGACCATGCCTCCCGCTTCCAACGCCATTGACACACCCATGGCGGTTGCACTTTTCCTCCACCGCCCGAAATGAAGGTAGAAATATCGCGGTGATCGGCGGCGGGATTACGGGTCTCACGACGGCTCACCATCTCGCCAAAGACCCGACAATCAATGTCACGGTCTGGGAGCGGTCGGATCGGTTAGGCGGACACCTTAATTCTGAAAAGATTGATGTGGGAGATGGGCATATTGTTTTCGATTACGGGCCTCGCACCTTTCAAGCGAATGCGAAGGCCTTCTCTACGCTTGACTTGGTGAGTCTGGCCCAGGGTATCGATTTCGTCGTTGGGGAAGCTCGAGATACTGATTCTTTCTATGCATATGGTAGATAATAGACCTTGGTCTTTCGGAGCAGATAATTCTTACTAGCATTCACGATGCAGCTTCGCGGAACCGCTACATATACTACCCTGACCATCTTGTTCGCCTGCCTGGCCCACAACCGGGAGGAGGCCTGCTCGTGAACATCATTTCCAACGTTATAAGTCTCTTTACAGAACCGCTGCTGAAGGGTCTACCTTGGGCGATTGCGGCTGAGTCGTTCAAACCCAAAAGGAGCGCAAAACTTGAAGATGAATCTATTGGCGATTTTATGACCAGGAGGCTAGGGAGCGCTATTACGGACAATATTGTCTCTGCAGTCCTCCATGGTATCTATGGAGGTGACATTTATAAACTTAGCGCGAAAACAATACTCCCAGCTTGGTGGCAACTGGAGCTGAAAGGCAGAGGGGGCGTTTTTCTACCGTTGTTATCCCCTAAGAGGAATGTACGTGTCGCATATGACATTTACCGTGAACTTCAACTACTCAGCGAGGAAAAGGGTGTGACCTACCCGCGCGAGCTCCTATCTCGCGTGAGCGGTGCTAGTGTATTTGCCTTGAAAGCGGGAATGGGTCAGCTGGTTGATGGGTTGACCAGGTCGCTTTCCGCTTCACCTAATGTGAAGATACAGACTGGCTTGGGGATTAAAGAGCTAAAGCTCAACGATTCTCGATGGCAGGTAAGCTAGCAGCTCTACGAATCAGTATCCATGATAGCTTTGGGCCCCTTCTGAACTTATTCGTCCCTAGGTTAAAGCGAGCGACAATCGGCAAATTACCTATGATGAGATCGTTTCCACAACGTCTCCCCATGAGCTACATCGGCAGCTAGCTCCCACGCTCAGACGCACAGATGCCTTCAGAGACCTTCAAGGCCATAACTATGCCGTTAGTGTCATGATCGTCAATCTTTTCTTCAAATCTCCGAATTTAGTTCCCGTCAATGGGTTTGGCTATCTGATCCCTCAGTCTGTAGCCCTGGAACAGAACCCAGAACGCGCCTTGGGAGTCGTATTCATGTCCTGTTGCAACGTGGAGCAAGACACGGCACAAGGCACCAAGTTAACCGTTATGCTGGGAGGTCACTGGTGGGACGGCTGGGCGGACGAAGACATCCCTGACGAAAAATCAGGAATTCAGATGGCGAGAGCGGTGTTGAGGCGTCACCTGAAAATTGAAGAAGATCCGGTCGTGGTTGATGCGAGGCTGATAAAGAATGCGATACCGCAGTATACCGTGGGACACACTTCCCGCATGAAGGGATTGCATGAATTACTTTCTGAAGAGGCCCCGGGACTAAAGGTCGTTGGGTCGTGGTATACTGGTGTTGCGGTAAATGATTGTACACGAGCTGCAAAGCTGATGTCCCACTCAATCATATCGGGAAACCGTGGAGAGACGGGCTTGGAACGCTATCTCGATAAAAATATAGAGGGCTTCGATTTGGCTGTGCCGCAAAAGGTGAAATAGATGATTGGAGATACTCCTCGATTTATAGAGATATAAACTGTACGATAGTGTGAAATGCATCTCGAAATATAAATCACCTTGTTCGAACTATCTCTAGTCACCACTTTCTCAGGCATAGAAACTTGACGATTCCATCACATGGCTCATTAACAGCTGGCTGAAATTGGATGGCACGATATCCACCTCATGTATGCACCCATGGCCCCATTGTATGCCGATATACCACCTGCAGGTGCTAAGTATATTCGTCGCCGGTTTAGCAGTTTCGAAGCGGCAGCCCCTCTTCAAAATCCTTGGATTACCCTTTCCATAATTTATATGATCCTCCCCCGGCCAAAGAATCTATAAGGATTACGGTTCGTATCATGGGCCACTGTAGCCGCACAAAGCAAAATTCCCATATCGAAATATCGAAAGGCCGATCACACTGCATCCTCGTTCTCTTTGGTATTGTCAACGGAGTTCTTCACCTTTCTTTCTCCCTCCGCATCGAAACCCAAAGCATCCAGCTGCCGAATCAGCTCATTGATCCTGATAACCTTCTCAAACTGTTCGGGAAGCAGATTCTCGCCCTTATCCTTCTTCTCACGCAGCTCACGGGCCTGCTTGAGTTTCTTCTTCAGGTTTCGGGCTTTTTTCTCTTTCTCGACTTCCGGATCCACGGCAGTCTCCGCGTCCTGCGCTGTCCCGGCGCGCCAATTATCTTGGGCCATGATCCCGCCGCTGGCTTTGCCATCTTCAGCCGTCTCGCTGGCAGCCTTTGCCTTTTTCTTCGCCTCACGCCTTTTCGCGTTTTTGGCACTTGCAGCCGTGGATGTTTTGGAATCATCGTCTTTCAGTCCCTCTGCGCCAGGAACACCGCCTCTACCACGATTCTTGAATGATTCGGCTGCTCGGTTTTTGTAGAGCTCGACGTCCTCTGGGGGCCGGTAGCCGGGCCGGATGCGTATTTCTCGACGAACGGATCCATCGGCGCGGAGAGAGGAGGGTACATGGCGTTCGCCGGTCGTGGTGTCTGTGGTGATCCCAGAAGACGAGGTTGTTGGTTCGGTTGGCATTGTGCCTTGGGCCTGGTAGATGAGACGTGAAAAAGCGGTGCGGGTGCTATGCTGCGAATTAATTATTGAAGAAGCAGAGTATTACTATAAGAATCTCGTAAAACCAGAGAAGCGTCCAGAACATTAATGAACCTCAAGCCTTTTGCCTGAGAGACTCAAAGAAAGCGATTTTGGCGGTGGTCGAGGTGCCAGCCAATCAGGCCACCGCAAATTCCCGACTTCGTGATTTCTCCCGAACCAGCGTGTGTTCTCTGCAAAACATCAACCGTTGACGACGGCGCCAATTCGCAAGCAGTTCCTCTCTGCTATTGTCCTCTGCAGATCATTGAGTTACTTGAAATCCGCTGTTCAAAATGGCCGGAGTAAGCCCCTATGCGCTGATACCGTGAGAGCCCATAGAAGCTAACCGCTTTTTCATTCCACAGCTTTCCTCCTCAATCTACAAGTAAGGCACTGTACCCTTGGCGCCATCGATGGGGAAGTTCAGCCAGACTTATCGCAGCCTTTAGCACCTTTATCCGACGCAATGCCGTCTTCTTGGGTTCGATATTCGTCGGCGCATTTGCGTTTGAGATGTACGTTCTCCCCGGTCTCTCTCCCAATTACGTGGAGTGTTGGCAATTCGGCTAGCTCACATGTCGTTTTCCAGTGCCTTCGACACTGTCAGCAACCGTGTATGGGATACCATCAACAGAGGCGTATGTACCGGCCCTTCCCGCGGCTAGCTATGTGCAACCGCTAATTGAAGCACAGCGACAATGGAAAGATATCAAGCACAGATATATCAGCCAGGAGGAAGAATAAATATTAGGGGGATGATTTCGATCCTCGATTTTCAGCCTTAAAGGACGACACTTGTACAGATACAGATTAGCATCCACAATAGAGATATTTCTTTGCCCTTGGTCCGTGTTGGAGGCTATCCTTGCCAGTGTATTGCGACCACTATTGTGATTCCACTTATTATAAGCGTCTAAGGGCTAGTTACTAGATCTACCTTTCCTGGGGTGATTTGTTCAGGGTTCTATTTTCAGGGTTCTGCGGTGATTGATATCGATCCGGCGTTGGCAAAATATAGAGTCCTGGCAGATTTCGAAAATCGAGTCAAGAGTCTACATTTGTCAAAGCAAAACCGGCAGCGACTGGAAAAGCTATATACAGATTGTAATTTGGTGAAACTTCCCGTGGCAATTAGTGAAGGTGAATGGCGAATATGAGGGCATCATCTTGGAGCAAATCTATTCCTTGCTAAGTAACTATCTGAATTGCGGTGAAATCTCAAAAAGCAGTCAACAGATCGCTTTCCTGCGGATTGTGATTCACATCTATTTATCTCTTTACTGCAAGATCCATTTCTTTTACCTGCAGCCATTGTCTGCCTGAGACACCCTCTCTCCAGACAAGCATAAATTCATTTTCAAACCAACGCACTCCAGGCGCCTACGTCAGAGAGCTGAACCACCCAACCCCGCCACTTGAGTCAACAACCGTCACCCACAGCTCTCAGCAGAAACCATTGCTGACCCATCGATTTTCCGATACGTGAACGGATGTCGAACCGGACTCCAAGATGAAGCCATCAGAGCTTGAGCTAACGCTGGGCCGGGCGTTGCTCTCGCATCCACGCAGGTTCGACCACCGCTACGACGAACACGCGAAACGCGACCTCCTCCGGCTCTTTTTCCGATCCTTGACGGGCTTCAAAGACGAATATCTACGTGTCCTGTTCCCAGAAGGCACTCCCAATGGCCAGTGGAAGCTCTCCGAAGCTCAGGGCGCGAAGGCGGGTGCGGAATATACTGAAGCGGCGCGGGGAAAAAGATGCGGCCATGTATTCAAGGCGGGAGAGGTAACATACCGCTGCATGACCTGTTCGACAGATGATACGTGCGTTTTGTGTGCACGGTGCTTTGATGCGTCGGATCACACCGGCCATAAGTACCAGGTCCACGTGTCTGGTGGTCATTCTGGTTGCTGTGACTGTGGCGACGACGAAGCGTTCAGATTACCTGTCAATTGTGCTATCCACACAGACCTGGAGAAAAAGGCGGGTAAGGGGAAGGTGCCATCACAGCTCCCGGGAGATTTTCTGGACAGTATAAGGACTACCATTGCAAGATTGCTCGATTATTTCTGCGATGTCATCTCGTGCTCCCCAGAGCAACTTCGGCTGCCCAAAACAGAAGATAATATTCGGCAGGATGAGGTTGCTTCGCGGCTATCCTCCGACTGGTATGGTGGCGCAGATCCCGAAGAAGAAATGCCTGAGTTTGCCCTGGTATTGTGGAACGACGAAAAGCATACAATCTACGAAGTTACTCAACAGGTGGCTCGGGCTTGCCGGGAAAGCTCTCAGTTCGGGACGGACAAAGCGAATGAAACAAATGATTTCGGAAGAAGCGTCGTCAAATATTCAAAAGACCTCCCTAGCTTGCTTCGTGTTTCTGGGGTTATTGAACAGATTAGAATCACGGTCACAGTCAGGTCATCTAGGGATACATATCGAGAGCAAATGTGCGGTAGTATAATCGAGTGGTTTTCTGACATCGCAGGTTGCCATGTTGCAGGTGACAATGATATTCTAAGGCGGACTATATGCGAGGAGATGCTCCACCGC